TATTCTGTGCCTAGTATACAGAACACCCAAACAGCAATTGTCGTGAAAAAGGTGAAAACTGGGCTTGATGTAAAATAAGGCTTTATATTTTCAGCAGGGGAAATGTAGGCATATATTTTTCCTGACACTTTTTTCATTTGAACAGAATATTTCTAAATATTAAAACAAAGTCATTATGCAATGTTCGTTGTTTATAGCCATGTATAGTAAATTCAGCCTGTAATCTTGAGTGAATTTTTCACACTTTTTTATTGATTAAATTTTTTTCTTAATTAATTAATTTAAAGAAAAAAGAAAGAGAGCAAACCAGAAGAAACATCATCTTCAGAGTTCCTAAAACTCCCATTTTATCTCAGGTTTTGGCTGTTATCAAGCATCAATACTATTTATTCATCAAGTACTGCCATCTTGTGGAATCAGAGTAATCAAAGGAAATCCTAAATAGAGGAAGAGAAATATATTTTTCCAACAGGATCTTCCACCACATAACAAAAAGAAGACAAAACCCAGACTTATTTCTTGTACAAACCTCATAACTCCATTGAGGTGCAATTATGAGATATGTGTTTGTATGCTTTGCCATTGATTATGCAAAATGTAACCATTTTATGGACTGTATATTTAGGTTTTTGTTGGCCTTAAAGTAGTTTATGTGGAGACCTTCTTGTTACATCTTCACTTGCACCCAAAATACCACTTATCTCACAGAGCTGATGGCAAGGCTGTCCAGAAACTTCATGTTAAAAGGATGAAACAAGTAATTTCTTATGAGAAAAGCCCTGAGGAAAATCTGTGAAACATTCAGACACTAACAAACACTGGAGTGAATATTGGGTGCTATCTGAATGCTTCCAGCACATCTCTTGTTACAATACTTAAGGGGTTATTTCTTACTGACCCACAATGAGAGAAGGACTTTTACATTACCACGGTACTGACATTTTCTGCATCAGAATGATATCTCCAAAAGCACAGTACAGCACTAAAAAAATGCTGATATGTCAGTACTCCAGCTTCATCCATTATGGGAAGTACACCACATTGTGACAGTTTAGGAGTTAGTGTTGTTTAACAGAGAAAATAGATCTACAAAAATCATTTAAGAAATTATAGTAAGCAAAATTTCACACCATAAATTCCTTCCGGCAGGAAATAGATGCTCTCTTCTTACTATTTCATTATCAGGTGACCCAGATTTTCACCTACATAGCCCACTAAGACGTACTTAATAAAACACAGAAACAAATTGGATATTTGGAAGGCTTTCCACATGATCTTCAGAAAAAAGATACATATTTCCTTAGAGATATTCTTCTGTAAACAAGACTGGTCATTCATAAAAAGGAATACCATTTTTGCAGTTACCAAAATGACATATATTTTGCACCATCACTTTGTATATAACAGAATTTCACAGCAGAAGGGTTCTTCAGCCCAAAGCCACAAGAGAAAGTCAGTCTACAACTGTTCTATAATTCATAATTTCTCTGTCTCTTTATCCTCCATTTCTGTTTGTGTTGATGAATAGTATCTGCATAAAAGTTTCTTTCGTGTTGGCATTCAGCTGTAATTTCCAGGAAGGGCTCTGCATCATCTTTGTGGTTTTGGCATAGGTGTCACATTTAAAACAAAATAGAGGGGCATAAAAATAAAAAAGAATCTCAACATATATTCTGTAAAAATACTCTACACTTCTGTATACTGCAGTATTCAGTTTCCTCTTAAACATTTTTTTTCTCTGTTGAAAACAAAGTGAGTACAGCATGGTAAAAACATTTACTCAGCCTTTTCTCAAAAGGAGATGACTTCAGAAGATCTGATTTTACAGTTCTAGTTTGGTTTATTCAGATTTTGATCGCACTGACTTTTAGCTTCAAAATCTCTTGAAAGTCATCATTATTTACCTGTCAGGCTTGAGATGCATCTCTGGAGTTCAGCATCCTATTAAAACGTTAATACAATGGCAGTTGTATTTGTGTTTAGTCAAATGACACCGGTTCTAAAATCTTTTAATGTAAATCATTCTAGGAAAATTCAGGCTTGAAGTTCACTAAAAGGTCCAGTGAGCTGTGTGTAAACAGGCCTGGTGTCATATGTTTGGTCTCAGGCTCCTGAAATTCAAAAGGTTCACTCAGAGGTTTACAATATTTTAAGAGCAGGATTTCAGATAGTATTTAAATTCCTCTCTTCTAGCAGTTTATATGTGCTTCTCTGCTGAACTTGTAGCATGTGACTATATTAACAGTCCTTTCAGAATGTTTTACTGTTCATGTACTTTAGATGACACACTTCTCTATAGAGAGAAAACAATGTTTTAAATGTTGATCCTCCACTAGTTATTTGTTATTTTTTATATGTCATTACAATTATTTGGGTACTCTCTTATGCATGACACAGCCAGAAGAAAACAAACCAACAAAAGAAAACAAACCAAAACCCCAGGTTTTTGTGTTTTTTCACTTGGCCAGCCTTTGTTAGCAATTCTGTGATTTACAAACCCTAAATTTGAATTTTGCTGGCATGCAAAGTAGGAACAGAGTCCCAGAATATGAACACCAATGCATGTTTTGTCCTCTACTATGGCTGCAAATTTAGAAGCGTGAGATATTTGCACGATGGATCAATGTCAAGGTACACCCATTTTCTCCTAATTGCAGTCATTCTGTGAACACTCTTTTGTAAAATCACTTCTGCAAGATCATCCATCTATTTCTGTCAGCTAAAAACTGTGGGGTCCCCAGATCCCAAGCCAGCTGTGGTTGCTTCTGACTGGTCTGCATAGCATGCATTAGAAATTACAGCATTTTCCTGAGGTATTTCCACTGAAGCCTATGCATAGTGTATGGACATAACCCTCAAAATGTTAAGAATCTGCTGAACTTATTAACCAGGTCTAATAGGAGAAAAAAAAATCATTAAGTGTGTAAGAGGGTTTTCACCTGCAAAGAAGATCAAGAATTCCAGGTCAATTCCAGATCTGAGTATTCAGATGCAAAGTCTTCAGATATTTAAAAATGTTTACCCAGGTTTTGGTTTTTTAGAAATGTATGTCCCTGGATTCACCACTGGCAAAGACTTAGTATTGTGTTTCCTTAGAGGCGTAAGAACTTATTGCCTGAAATCTGTTCCTTAGTAATAATTCTAATTAATAAATGAATAATTAATTGTGTGTGGTTTTAGGCTCCAAATAGAGAAAATTCTATTCTACATGAACTGCCAATGAACCCATGCTGATTACTATTTTGCATTTGGTTTGAACTACTTTTAAACCAGAGCAATTAATGAGACTGATTGCTTTCCATTTGAATTGTTAACAGGTGTCTTCAGTTAAAGCCTGTGCATTTTCCTTGAACTTGTGTATTTATCATCACTTTGTAAAATTTTATGCTGCCATGAATCATTTCTGCCAGTTAAGAAGACATCATGGCAAAATGTGGCAATGACATTTTCAGAGAGACATATTTGGGGCTAATTAGTATTTTGCCTGAAACATAACAGAAGAGAAAGGAAAATTTGAGCACTCCAAGAGCTATGAGCGCTTAATTCCTCAGGGTCTTGTGTAACCACTCAGCATTACTATTAGACCTGGAAAAGATTTTCAGCAAAAAGTTATTGTGTGTAGCTTAATGCCACATTTTGGATAGGTCTTCCCCTCCTGTGGCAGAAGTATGTTCAGTCTTTTAACATAACATTTTTGTACCAATACGGTCAGCTTTTCATGAGAAAATTTTCATTTGATTTCAAAATTAGACTGAACTTCTTAAAATTTAATCCAGAATGTACCGCATCTATACTGCGTGCACTCTTGGGTTACATTGGTTGAGAAAGCATTCCTTGTGATTTTCTATTCCTTTCTCACCACCATGTCAGAGGACAATACACTCAAAGAGAGAAAGGGCAAATCAGTTGGAATTTCTAATACTTTCATTAAAGATTATCATGGGGGGAGATTATGGAAGAAATTGTCAATGTGCGGTTTAGGTATTGAACAATATTTTTTTTAAGCGTGAAGACGGAATGAAACAATGGATCATAAGACTGAAAGGAGAACAAGTAGAAAGGAATATACATAAGGTTAAGGCTTTAAAGTCAGAATTGGTGGAACTCCACATGAATAATTCCCTACAAGGAATACCCTGCTAAATCAGAATCTTATTAAATTTACTGATACTTCTAATGTTGAGATATAAATGAATCTAGGATTTTTAACAAATCATTATTTAATCTCATACAGAATAATAATTTCTTTTCTCAACCAGCCATTATGAGTGTAAAGGTATATAATTTTCAGGTAAATAGAAGGATTAATGAGATAAAAATAAGAACCAAGGGACTGGATTTAATTGCCATTTTTAAAGATCACTGACTAGCTGGTAGCTTTGGTTTAAGGAATTTTTCATTGATCATAGAGATTTAAACTGAATAAAGAAGGGTTCTGAAATTCAATGAAGCAAATATAGAAGATAGACATCTAGGACAGCAATACTACCTGCAAAGCAGGTTGAAAAGATATTAGAATCTGGTGATTTTGAAAACAGATATTCAGAACAAAAACTGTTTATACATACATTTGCAGAAGTCATCCATAGCTCTAAAGGAAACATCTTGATATATTTCACTGCAGATCTGAATAAGCAGAGAAAAAATGCTTTGTTTATGATCTTTGGTTTGACCTGAAGGACCAGAAAAGGGAGTGATCTGTTATTTTATTGATATTTTTCTGAGCCTGATGAATAATTTAAGTATTTTTCCTGAACTAAATCTGTCTTCCCAGGGAACCTGTGGACTAAACATTTATGCTACTTTCAAAATGCTAAGGAAAGGAAAAAAATAATCTTCAATTCTAAATGAGACAAATAAGAAGTTTTTAAAACCTTTTGCTTTTTGCCCCCTAGATTATTGAAGTAAAGCTAATTAACATTTATTTTGTGTATTTATTTGCATTACACACTATTGTTCCCATAATTACTTTCTTTTATTTTTTTCTGCATTTTTTTTAGAGATCATCTATAGCTGGGTATTTAATGAATTCCCATCTTTTGTGGCAGAAGACAGCAGACGCTTCATCTCTCAGGAGACAGGCAATCTCTACATCTCCAAGGTGCAAACATCTGATGTTGGCAGCTACATATGCCTGGTAAAAAACACAGTGACAAATGCCAGAGTTTTGAGTCCTCCTACACCTCTGACACTGAGGAACGATGGTAAGAAAGGCATTATTCCTGTATACCACATCAAAGCAAAAATACAGAACCAAAACCATTAAGAACCATGACTTTAATTTTTTTCAATATATGGATGCATTTACTGAAGCAACTGGCAAAGAAAAGTTGTTCATGGAGGCAGTCTCTTTTAAAATATCCAACAGCTGTGAGAATATTTAGACATCTGAAGATTGATGTGCAAGATGACACATCCCAATGTATTTTGTTTAGAACAGTTACTCCTCCTTGCTATTCTTGTGTTCTGTCAGAGAGAAGAACATCTTCTTTCTCAGCAGTGTCTCCTTAGGTCTCAGTTTAGTTGCTTCCACCCAAGTGGCCACTACCATTGAGACACTCTCAGGCACTTGAGACATGCACAGGGGACTGACAAATGCTACATGGGGCATACAGACCAGCTGCAGGATGCCAGGAGATCATTAATGCATCTTAGATCACACAAGGTACACATCGTTAGACAGTTGAAAAGAGGTCATAATGCTTAAAAGTCTACCTGTTGCAGGACTAAAGACCTGTTATGCTTCCAGGCTCCAATTCAATGCACTGATAAAATGCCACCAAGAAAAGTAAAACAGCATTGGCTACAGTGATAGATACCCAAGTAGTTTTGAATTTCATAAAGGCATATAATTGCAGTATTCTTTTCTGTAAATAGGTGGCTAAATCTTATTATCGAAAAGTGACTTACAATCTTTTTTCCCAAAGATCAAAAGAAAAAAATCTTCCAATAATACTAATGAAGCAGTATTACATTCCAATATAAATTATAAGTAGCCCTGATTCTATTGGAATATCTGCTTATAGAGACAATTGTTATTTGCTCTTCTCTGCAAGATTAGTATTTATTACATTATAAGTGGTTTTAATTTTTCTTTTTCTGCCAAAATAATGCAAATTTTGAGAATAGTAATTGTGAATTCTACAGGTGCCTATATTTCCCTTTTTCTAAGATTTTCACATTTAATTTGGGTTTCTAGTTTTTCACAGTTATGTCAGCAATTCAGCATATATGAATCCATACCTACATAAATCAAAGAGAGGAAGAGAAACTCTGAGGCTTTTGTCTTGCTCACAGTTTTTCTAGAACCAAGACAAGTCTTATGCTGTCCATGCACTACAAGAGCTATATTTAAACAGAGATTACTTTGTTTAACCAAGTTAAAAATATATTCATATATTAGAGTGAAATTGAGTTAATATTTATTCATCATAGGAAATTTAAATTTCCATCTGCATAGAATGCAGCCCCTGCAGCAAATAGCTGCATGTTTTACTGTATCATTTCCTATTTTCTTTTGTGGTTTAGTACCCATGGTAATTATTGAGTTTCAGGTGTTTAATTTTACATAGTGAACATAATGAATCTGATCTTTTCGATATCAACCTTTCCAAATTAAAAAACCCAAACATTGACTGTCTTTTTATTCAGTTCAAACTCTGGTAAAAATATGTTTGAATTTTATTGTCATATTTATTATTCATATCTTTTTATGGATTTCTTCATATCTCTAATTATTCTTTATTACATTTCTTTATGCTTTCATAGGGTTCCATTTTGTGCAGAAATTCGACAGATTAATTATCCATCTTGTACTAGCAGTACATAGACATGCATTATAGTGTGAGAAATGGAGAGAGTAAATAAGAATAAAGTCAGCAGTCTACATCACTGAGCTAAGAAACAAAATCTATAAAGGAAAACTCTGCAGATGTTCTTAAATGTCAAGTGGGTAGTATATACCAGCCTCCAGCAAATTTGTGTTTCATGGCTGGCTGTCACACCACTGTGATAATCCAACCTTCTGAACTGTGCTGGAGTATTGGGGAGGTATTTGCACAGAGATGAACAGCTCCTCAACAATTTCCCAGTTTCCTGATTTGTTTTTTTTGCATGCATGAATTTCTACTAGTCTTCCATGCATCAATTTTAATCTGTTTGGATTTCCGAAAAGCTTCTTTATTGTCATGGAGGTCTTTAGGATTTTTTAGTAAATTGCTTGCTTTCCTATATGACTGAGCAAGTTTCTCAGTGAAGAGACGCAGAGCTAGCTACCCTTGCAGTCTCCATAACCCTGCCTTGGAAAAATATTAAGGAAAATTCTGGTCGCTGAATCATATTTATTATTTAGGACATCTGCCTTGTTCTACCTCCTCTACAGAATGCAATAGTATAACTCTTTTAAAAACTAAGATCTCAATAAGAAAATTCCATTAATTGTGCTGTACTTTTTCATTTTGATAGAAATGGCCTTAGGTTATATCACCTTGTCCATTGACAAATACTAGAATGATGACAAAATTTTTAAAATATCTATATATACTATACTCCAAAATATGGGATAATATACCTGCTGAAAAAGAAGTGCTCATTACTTTAAAAAAAATAATTTGTGAAGAAAGGAAGAGCTGAGGATGGACTCTAAGAAGGAAGTAAGAAATTAAGAATGGCATTAAAACAAACGTCCAAGTACCTGAAAATTTACTTGACACTATGTTTGATGAGTCATGTTGTATGATTTTGAATATGACTTTTTAAGCTTTTTTTATTATAGCATTAATTTAATCACTTTAAACTTTTCAAATACTGACTTGAATTTAAAAATCGTACGGCTTTCTGAGTTCCAATGGTTGGCATCACAGCTGACATTATCTTACACAGTCAGCACATTTGTTACAAGCCACAGGAAGAACCTGTGGTTTTAAACAGCTTTCACAACTGGCATTATATCAATAAAACAATTTATATAGTTTGTATTCCCTAGGCATATGTATCATTAACTCAAAAATATTCTAATTGGTATATTTATCATCATTCTTGGATGTTGATGTATATGCAGTACCTGTACCCAGGGGAGCAAAAAGCCTCTGACAAAAAACACTCCAATGACAACATTGGTCTCTATTTATCTATGAGGGAATAACAGAATAATATTAAGGCATTCTGTCAAACTCTGCAAGAATGTAAGAACTTCCTGGGCTTTTATTAATCTTTTATTTCTTTTGTGATGTGTCTCAAAGGGGAACTTAGCTCCTTGATATGAAGCAAATTAAATAAAAATGTCAAGAAATCCTTCAATGGATTCTGAATAAAATGAATACCTCATTTGTTCAGATGTCCTTGACAATCAGTCATTTCATACAATTCAATTTCATTTCAAGCTGGGTTATAAAACCACTCTGAAAATTCTATCTGAGGAGATAAAAAGTTTTAGCAGGAAAAAAATATTATGCATCATTTCATTAACTGCCTGTATAATGCATTACAAACTTTGAGGAATTATTTAATAACTGTTTACAAATAATAAACAGCATTTTTAAAATGGGTCTTTGCAGGCTTGGATGCTGATTGAGAGCAGTAAATTTTCTTGACTAATAAAACCAACAGAAAGCCTCTTCAAATTTAGGAAATAAAAACCTAGGGAGTAAAACAAATTTGATTTTTGATAGCATAAGACAGTTATTCTGAGTTCATACATTTTTGTTCCAGTTTTTCTTGTCTTTTCATCTCTTTTATTTATCTTGAAAATGTGTTAACTTAACATTGCTACTGTACAGGAGAAACTTAACTCATACTTCATTTTATCTCCATGTAGATACTCCCTATTGGCTTTGCTATAGTGAAATTTCCAGGAAAAAAAAAAAAGAAAAAAAATCTGTACAATTTCAGATGTCAGAGGATACTTTTACAATGTTCTGTGACATCAAATTAGTTTATCCTCAACAGAGGTTTGTCTATCTGACCAGACATTTTCTCATGTAACTGAATGCAGACTTAGACTTTCAATTTTTTTCATGTCAGCACAGTCTGTGAACTGAATTCTGTCTGCCCTAATTCTATCAATTCATTCTATGTGATTAATAGTCTGACATAATGATAGAATGTATATTTATCAAAGTATTAATGATGTTCTTTTCTACCTTTCCATGATAAAATATGTTCTGCATATGCTTGTTGAGATTAAACTCTGGGATATGTTGTTTGAACATAAGAGTTTTCTAAATATCTCTTTCCCAGCCTTAAGGAAAGTTTGGAAGTTATAGTAATTTCCCAAATAGCATAAATTAGGCAATGAAAATGGCCAGTATAGGATAGCAAAATAATAAAGATAGAATAAAACCAGCAGTTTTACAGACATAGGCTATGCCCACCCCTGAAGAATGCTAACAGTTGTCAATTAATTGATAATTAGAATTTTAAAATTTGCTTAAAGATGAGCATTAATGCTTCTGTCAGTCTTTCCCTTTCCTTGTTTTTGTTTCCTACTTGCGTTACTAGTTTTGCCTTCTTCCTTCATGCGCTACAGTTATTTTTAACTTTTTGTCTCTTTCATTCTGCTGTTGTGGCTCAATCCCACTAAAAGGTTGTAAAAACTAGTAGGATGGAAATCAGGATTAAAAACCTATAGTCTTATTTTAATTAAAAAACTGCAAACCAAACGAAAACAAAACAAAAAAAATGGATGGGGGAAGGTTGATGGTTTTGGGGTTTTCCCCCAAAATACTAATGATTTTTCTATTTAGAAAATGTGTTACAGTCAGCACCAGTGGTCCATATCTATAGGTATGAATATCTGTAGGTGGGCAGAGAATTTTATAGAGGGCTCCTATACAATAAACCTTTTGCAGAGTGCTTTATGGAGATTGTACCATAGTTGAAGAGCACTATCAAACAGCACACAGAAGTTCAATGACACCATTTGTAAAATATTTTACGTAAAAAAAGTATAGAAAAAACAACTGGGGATGATCTTTTGATGACATAAAAGGGCTGAACCCAGGGGAGTATTACAGGAGGAAAACTGGGAAAGATTCGAAAAATCTTATGTTCCAGGATTCAAGGTAGAGCAAGAACTCTTCCACTGTGAATGTTTGCTTTGAGTTTAATCTGCTTCAAACTCTGTTCAGGTAATCTCTTTAAAGGATTTTTAATGGTTAAGATTTCCCAGTAGTTTACAGAAACACTATCTGCTAGAAATGAAGCT